TGATTTTTGTGTATGGTGTGAGAAAATGATCTAGTTTCATTCTTCTGCATGTTGCTGTCCAATTCTCCCAACACCATCTGTTAAAAAGGCTGTCTTTTTTCCATTGGATATTCTTTCCTGCTTTGTCAACGATCAGTTGGCTGTATACTTTTGGGTCCACTTCTGAGTTCTCAATTCTGTTCCATTGGTCTATTTGTCTGGTTTTGTGCCAATACCATACTGTCTTGATGATGACAGCTTTGTAGTACAGGCTAAAGTTTGGGACGGTGATCCCTCCCGTTTTGGTTTTATTTTTCAGGATTACTTTGGCTATTCGGGGTCTTTTGTGGTTCCATACAAATTTTTGGATAGTTTGTTCTAGTTTTGAGAAGTATGCTGGTGCAGTTTTGATTGGAATTGCATTGAATGTGTAGAGTGCTTTGGGTAGTAATGACGTCTTAACTATATTTATTCTTCCTGTCCATGAGCATGGAATGTTTTTCCATTTCTTTGTGTCTTCTTCAATTAATAGGAACACTTTCTAATGATGTCCTTATTCTCTGTATATACAACATGTTGGTATCAAATTGTGATTTATGTCAGTCAGTACTGTTAATTTGATTGTGTGGCTTTTTAGGGACGACAGGAGTAAAGGAAGTAAAGGAACTATCATCCTTTTGTAACAACACTTTTATCTGAGCTTCTTTACAAAAAAATCACTTCTGTGTTCTCTTTCTTTTTCTCATTTTCTTAATATTTTAAGTGACCTCAATCTTTTAAATGAAATATAGACACTTTGACAATTTACATTTTTTAAATTTATAAATATATGATTAATGAAACAGCTTATTTCTCTAAGTTACTTTATATTATTAAGTTACTTTTGTTTGATAAAAATGTGACTGATTGATGATATTCCTGTAACAATGGATATGACTTATCTCCTTTTACTTCTTCTGCTCCTCCTTCTGTGATACACACACACACATAAAGCTTCCAAATTGGTTATTCTTTTATAATTAATACAAAAGATTATTCATGAAACTTTCAGTTTCAGTTTGCTGCCCACCATAGGATAATATGTTTTAAATCTGTACTTTAAATCTTTGAGTTTATATTCTATGTGGAGTATTTTTATTTTAAATTTTAAATAAATCTTTTAAAATATTCATTGTTTTAATCTTCAAACTTGTAAAAAGCTCTAATGAAATAATCAGGTATATCTCAAAGAATGTCTTCCAGAAAATGTGTGCTTGTTATGTAGACATAAAAGCATATGAGTTTTTAAAATAAATTTGTTAGTGAAAGTAGCTCAAATATTGAAAATATCAACAATGTTCTTTCAATTTTTACATCCTAATTGCTTTAGTTATGTGAAATAGATATCTATTCCCTGTAGTGTTTAATGATGATGTTGAATGCACTGTACAATAAAATTTCACATATTAAATACTTTTAAAAAGGTTTCAGCCACTTATTTGAATGCATTGGGAATGGAAACAAATATCCATGTGATTTAAAGTTCAAAATGTGAAAGTGCATAAACTATTTTCAGACAAAAACTAATATTACAACATGAACAGACCCAACATTGGTGAAATGAAAAAAACTACTATTTATTTTTAAGTGCTTTGGAAAGATATAGTTCAACTGACAATAGCAAACTCAAAAATTCTTTCAATTTCATTATGTTTTGTCTTTTTATGGACTAATTTTAACACTTAAGTAGCTCTGTCATCATGTGATGCCAAGCACTTTATATAAAAACCCAGATGTGCACCCATTTGTAAGCCACATGAGGTCAAGAGCCACATACATTTGGTTCATATTCTATCCCAAGTTTTTATTCTATCCCTGATTTTCTTATGTGTGAAACCTTACTATCTCTTATAGAAATCATAACTGTTTTTGTTTAAATGTGCTTGGAAAACTTTATTCTGTTATTTAAAAATCAGGAAATAATTTATATAGAGTATATGACCATATTTCTAGTGTTTTCTATTAACATGCATGCACATAGTTTTTTTTACATTAGCAAAAATATTAACGGAATAAAAAGTGGTGATAGAAAGCACAGAAAAGCTTTATTAAGAAAGATAAGTATAGAGACTATTACCAGTAATGATAAGCTAGAGTACAATAATAATGTCATACATTTTACATTATCTAGAATTAAATCATAAGTTCCTGCCTTTCAGTTTTCATTTTTCCAAATAGGAAGCATCTTTATCTGAATTGTATATCCTCATATTATAATTACAATTTTCAATGAGTTTGTATGCTTTTGGTACATATAACCAGAAAACCCAATTCAAAGTAACTTCAGCAATAAAGAAATTCAATGGCTTAAGTAAAAGGAAGCTCAAGAATAGGGTGGGCTTTCAGGTAGATGACTTTCAGATGGGCTCTAAAAACCTCAGCTGGTTCCTCATTAGAGATCTAGATGTCCTTTGTCTCTCCATTCTGCTATTTACATGGTAAGCTTTAATCTGAGACTTGTTTCTCTTCTGATTCTAATATGGTGGCCAGTGGTAGTTTAAATGACATACTTCGACATTTGTGTCCAATCACTCAGTTTCTTAGATTTTCAAGAGAGGAAGAACTTTTCTGAGTTAAGAATAAGCCCTTCCTAGCAGTTAACTGGCTAGAACTGGTCACTGATAAAGCTTCCCACTGGGAAGGATGGGGTGAGTTTCCACTGAGACCTGCAGGGGGCCAGGGTGTTAACAGTGAACAAAACTGGTATTCTGCTGGAAAGAATACTTCAAGATCTAATACAAGTATTTCCCCAGATTCATGTCTTATTTCTGGCTAATAGTAGTTGATTGTCATATTCAGAGTTCAGACTGCTAACCTATTGTCTGTCAGATTCAAAAACTCAAAGTGTTCCATTACATGTCCAAGCTCCAAGTTTCATCTCCAACTTCCTTTGTCTGTTTCTCCTTCGGATAAGGTAGTTCTTGACTTCATTTCTAACAGTACATGTTTCGTGTAAGGATAAATCTAGCCACAAATAAATAAGCCACTACACACACACACACACACACACACACACAAAACTTAATTGTTGCTAGGTGGACAAATTGCCAAAATTTGTTTGACATGTAAAAATTTGCATAGTGATACAAAGCCATTCCTATTGCATGAAGATAAAAGAAATTCTAAAGCAGTTTTAGTGAAAAATAACCCAGCCAATAACCCTGTCCTCCTCTACTGCACAACGAAGAATTTTAAGTAAATTAGAATAAAATAAACATATTTTAGAAGAATATAATACAGGCTGTGAGGCATACATAAATAAATATTCAAGTTAGATCAAACAAAACTCATATGTATAATATTCAATTCTTTGATAAGTGTCCAATTTTGGAGTATTGTAAACAAATACTCCAAAACCATAGTTTA